CGCTCACCAATGAGGGAATTTCCAACGATAGCCAAGGGCCTAAGCCTAGTGCAAGAGCGTGGGCAATGCCAAATTTAGGCACGTTCCGGGCCCACAGCGGCTGAAAGTGGAGGTCTAAGCATATGCGGCCTCCGCGGTAAATTTTAGCTGTCTTGCCGTCGAGATGCGGAATGATCAAGTCTGGACAAGTTGCTGGATAAGAAGCTGGCACGTCAAAATGGATGGTAAACTCAAAGCGCACACCTTGATGGTACGTCCAGCATTTCCCCTCCCACCGTGTACAAAGCTTGTTCACGGGGTTGATTTGGAACCAGTCGTTGTCCTTCTCTTTGTTTATGCGGACCAAGGCAATCACCGCCTGCATCTCCTCCTTCACCCTCGAAATCCACTGGTTGCCATCGCGGGGACCCGCCCGTGTATGCAGCATTGGAATTTCCTCCAACACGTGCGGGGCATGGTCCGTGGAGGCCCACACGGGAGGCATCGGCTCTGATGCTGGTGCCTCAGCCCGACCGGCCTTACCGCCAGGCCCACCGTCCATGATGAGATTCTCCACCCCTGTGCGTGGGTACAAGGCTCCAAGGTCATTAAAGCAACGATAAAATAATCCATGCCCTACTGGTAGCACGCTTGGTCAGGGTTTCGTGACTTTCTTGCCCTTCGACCACAAGCGCGGGTTGTGGCGCGAAAGCGGGCCATCCACTCGCTCCTTTGCTTCCTGCCCCCCACGCACCGTGCCATTTCCGTAGAACTGAGGCACCTGCTGCCTATCCAGTACCTTGCGTATGTTACAAACATCCGGGATTGGAGGGGTTTGGGGGGTTTGGATGACAATGTTAGACGCACACGGGGTTTGTGATGGCTATGAGGTCGAGCGGAAAACATGCGCCTCAGATCCACTACAGCGCACACCTTCCGAGTCAAACACTCTAACGACACTCATTCCATTTTTGTCATATTTGTCATAACAAGTGGTCCGGGAACACCTCTTCCCGTTGGGCGGGCAAGGTCTCTTCGCCTTTGCGTCCAATTGGGGTGAAAAGGGGCAATCGCACATCGGACAGGGTGACGGTATCACCGTCTCCTTCTGCGCTCGTGGGACTCAGTATTGGGTGCCTCAGCCTGACACCCACATATCTAGCACATAGAAGTTATGTCTGGCTTCGAGAAGCTGAACACTGAAGAGCGGGAACCGTTCAATTTTTACGTTGTGAAGCAACAAAACCGGGCACTAAGCGCGGCGGTCAAGCAAAAGGAGCGTCAGATCAGAGAGCTAGCTGTCGCGATACGAGAGCAGCAGCGCGCGCAGGAGACCGACACTGCCCTTGTTTCGTGCGTGGAACGGCATTGGCGTCAGGTTGAGGGGGACGCTCGAAGGCTTTTGGAGTTGCTGGGTGATAATGGTGCGGGGGTCTTGTCGGGGGACAAGAACGACGAAGCAACCGGATGTGCGAGCAGTATCCTGGAGAAAATAGTGTTGCGTGACGCCGACCGCTTTTTGCTTGCGGACGTGACGAAGGTTGCGGAAGCGGCGGCAGTGGATCCCTTGGACGACATTCTCAGGTTCGATGACGAGGCAGGCGGCGAAGGGGCGTCGGGGGCAGACGCCATGGACACAGCCGGAGCCAACCCTCCGGGAGGGAAAAGAGGCACTGATCAAGGCGTGGATGAGATTGTCGTGGCCAAAGTAGACAAGTCCATCCAAGAGCGCTGCTTGCTGACGCGTCAGGTCCTGCAAAAGCTGGTGCAGCGGTTGGAAGATGAAGGAAAGAGACCGGGTGGAAGGGGGGTCCGCGGGACGGAAGAGGACGGTCACGGCCCGAGTACCAGCATGGACGGGCCAGCCCCACCAGCGCACGGGGTCGGCAGTTCTTTTACCGTTGCATCGGAGGGCGGGTCGGACCGCGCGGAGATGTTACAGGCCCGGGTGGGGTTCTTGCAAGATCGACTGACAGTAGCCCGAAGTTGCCAACAGAAGCTTTATCGGGGCCTCGTCCGAGCCTTGAAAGATCGACATCGGTATAGGAAGGCGGAGGATTGGGGCCTTGTTTCCCGACGGGGCGCCCAGGACCTGGGGCAGAAAGGGCTAAGGCAGGAAGGGGGGGAGGACGGGGGGAGCAACGGGCACATGGAGAGTGCGGGGTGTTGCCACGACGAGCATAAGATGGGCGGGCACAAACGGAAGCGGTCCCTCATTGGTGCCGAGGCAGGGGCAGACGGAAACGGGAAGGGGGAAGAGGGCGAGACGACGCGCGAGGCGCAGCTGACGGCCGCCTTGGACACGCTGCAAGAGCTCAAGCAACTGGTCGCAAGCCGGGGAGAGGAGCTGACGCAAATGAGGGAGGAGAAGATGGAGCTGAACCGACGGATAACAAGCCTGGCAGGACAGGGCCTGGTGGATGGGGGCGCCGGGAAGTCCGCGCCCGAGAAGCAAGAGGGGGGGGGGATCGGGTTCCCAGGGCGACTTTCGGAGGAGCAGCTCGTCCGCCAGCCCCCCTACCAGAGCCTGCTGTCGGAGAGAGACAATTTGCGCCGTGAAAGCCAGATGAAGGAACGGCAAGTGCTCAGTCTCCGCCAAAATGTGGGGGATTTGGAGGGCAAGGTCCGGTTGCTCGGCCGGAGCCGTCAGGCGGTTGTGGAGGCGGAGCGCGGGCACTTCATCAGCCGCACAGAGGAGCTCACGCGGGAGAATCAAAGCTTGAGACGCTTCGTGGACGAACACGCGTTGGAAATGGAGGCGAAGCGCGTCTTGGTCCGGCAGGCGGATGAGCTGAAGGTGGCCTTGGCGGAGGAGCGGGCCGAGGCCAGTGGGCTCCGAGCTATCACCACCCATCAAGCCGCCGAGCTCAAGGAAGCTCGGGCGCAATGGTCTCAGCTCCAAGAACAATTGAAAGCACGGGAGGACGAGGCGAAGCGGCTCTCGGAGCAGGTTTTGGCCCCCTTGGGGGCGGACGAAGCCCGGGAAGGGCGCCTGGCCGAGCTGACCCGGCAACTGGAGGAAGCTCAGGGAGAGAAAGAGGGCCTGGGCGCCTTCCAAACCTCTCTCTTTCAGGAGACAGAGTCACTCACGGCGGCCTACGAAAAGCTTTCCGAGAGCACCCAGCGACTCAAGCAGCAGGTGGAGGAGAAGGAGAAGCGGAACAATCGCCTGCAGGATGAGCTGTTGAAGTCCAAGGCTACCGAACAGATGCAAGTAGAGCGGGCATCGGCGCTGGAAAGACGACAGCAGGACTTCGAGAGGCTGCGGCTTGAACAAGCAGCGACAGTGAAGGAGTTACAGGAGCTGGTAGAGCTGTTGCGGACCCAATGTGCGGGGCTGGCGCAGACGAGGAGAGAGACCGAGGAAGGGGCGCAGGCGGACGCGGAGAAGCTGCATCAGGCCCAGCGGGAGGCAGACGAGGCCGCGCAAAGCCTGCGGGAGTTCCAAAACAAGCTGCTGGCGATGACGAGCAGAGCGGAGGACTTGAGCCGCGAGCTGGACAAAGTGGAGAGGGAAAGGTTCTTGCTGCGGGAAGAGGTGGGCTCCCTGACTCGAAAATTACAGAAGGTGCAAGTCAAAATTGAGCCTACACAAGGAGCGGGTGCCGGAGGCATGGGATTAAATTCTGCCACAGGTGGTGGCCGGGAGGCAGCGCAAAACGAGACACTTCTAAAGTTGTTGAATTGCTCTGTCTGCAACGTCCGCTGGAAGGATTGTGTTATTACCAAGTGCTACCATCTTTTCTGCCAGCCTTGCATTCAGAGCAACCTGAAAGTGCGTAGTCGAAAATGTCCAGCCTGTGGGAAACATTTTTCAGAGAATGATGTGAAGCCAATTTTCCTGACCTAAGCTCAAGATGGCAAACTGGTTGGGGAGGGGGCGACGGGGGGGGGATGGCGAGATGCCGGTGGAGCTCGGTAATGTACTTTTTAACGAATAAAATGGTCGAAGGATCCGCAAGACCTTTCTGCATCTTAAGTGTCTACGAGATAAATTGAAATTGATAGGACAAAAATGCCTGCAAGATAAGAAATAAAAGACAATTGCTTTGCTGCGTGACCGAGCGGATGAGGAAAAGATCTTGATTGCTTCGATTCCCAGCACCGCCGGCTATGGCTAAAAGCACGTCTGGCTATGCGTCCTTAAAGGCTAACGTCGTCTCTTTTTCATCGACGAGCTTTTCATGCCGTGTCGGCACACTATATCTACCGACGCGTCCTTGAACCCTGATAAGTCAAACATTTTATGCGCCGGGCGACCGGGGCCTCGCCGGAAACGGCAAACCGCAGCACGGAGCTTTTTGAACTAGGAAAAGGCTTTTGCTGGGCCCGACGGCGTCAGTCGTCTCAAGAGTCGCACTTCCTGCACGTAATGATAGGACAAGCATGCATTCTTGACGCGTGCAGCACATTTGAAGACGGTTACATGCTTTTCGCTGTTCAAAGACACACGATTTATGCTGTAGTTTGTCGTCTCCATGATGCAGAGGTAGTGAGGATGAAATTGTGCAGCAATTTTGGGGACTTATACCCATTTCCCACACTTCCATACACGCATGCAAAGGCTTTTCGCCCGACATTTTTTGAGTCTTGCGCATTCACATTGCCGACCTTGGCCACGCAGCTAAGGGAGCTTCCTCGGACTCGGTTCCCCAGCGCGGCGTAGAGCCCGAGCAGGATCATTCTCATGGAGAATGCTGCTCTCTCTGGGGGTCAAATGGCTTGTTCAATGCTATTTGGAACAGCCATAATAACATACTTGGGACTGGAAATTTCCCGCTTACGTGTACTTATGCGGGTAAGTCAAGTTTACGAATGCCTTCCCTTCCCCCCAAGCCCGCCCTGTTGCCGCCGCTCCAGTCCTATCATTTCCGTCACACTGCCCTCTATCGGAGCTCGAAACATCCTTTATCGCCGCCCTGAGGAATTGACATCTGACTTTAACCCGAACATCTGACGCCTATCAATTCAGGACGGCGTGGACCCTGCCTCCCGGCATGTCGCAAGCAAGCACTCCGAGCCCCTGGCATGGACGTTTCCGTCGCTCTACGCCTTTTTTCGGGACGTTGCTGCCTTAGGCTTGGTCTTGCTGGTGGCATTCATGTGCGAGAAATATCCACTTTTCCCCCGCGGAGAAAAATCCTGGGATGGCGACATGTATTGGTTCCTGTGTCTTCTCCTCCTGGTTGCCTCCGTGATGACCATGCGGAAGGGGAAGTGCACCGACATCCTCAACCGAGACCAGACCGAAGAGTGGAAGGGGTGGATGCAGTTTATGTTCCTCCTGTACCACTACTACAAAGCGGAAGAGGTGTACAATGCCATACGGATTATGATAACCTGCTACGTGTGGATGACCGGTTTCGGAAATTTCAGTTTCTTTTACATCAAGCAGGACTTCGGCGTGGTGCGCTTCCTCCAAATGCTTTGGCGGCTCAATTTTCTTGTCATTCTCCTTTGCCTGAGCCAAGGGAACACGTACATTCTGTATTACATCTGTCCTCTGCACACCTTCTACTTCCTCCTCGTCTACGCGACCATGCGCGTCTTGCCCAAGCACAACCACGGAAAATGGGATGTCCGCCTCAAGCTTTTGGGCGTGGGCCTCCTCATCTACGCGGCCTGGGACCTGTTTGAGGGCGAGGTCTTTAAGGTCCTCTTCAGCCCCTTCCTGAGCACAGCTCCCGTCATCGGCGCCAAAGCAGGCACTCTATGGGAATGGTATTTCCGCACCTCGCTGGATCACTGGTCGACGCTTCTGGGCATGATTTTCGCGCTCAATTTCCCCATGGCTACGCGCTGGCTGACAAAGCTGGAAGAGCAATCGTTGGGCGAGCAGGTGCGAGTGAAAGGTCTGACCGGGCTCTGTGTGGCCGCGCCTTTCTTGTGGTGGGTGTGGGAAATCTTTCCCCGCCCCAAGCTCGAGTACAACCTGACCAACGCCTACTTTGGCTTCATTCCCCTGTTGGCCTACATCTTCTTCCGGAACTTGACCCCGGGCCTGCGGGCGTGGCACTCGGCCTTGCTCCACGACATCGGGAAAGTAACCTTGGAGACCTACCTAATGCAGCACCACGTGTGGTTGACAAGCAACGCCAAGACGTTGCTGGTCCTCGTTCCGGGCTTCCCCAAGTGCAATTTGGTGGTGGTCTCTGTTATATTTGTCTTTCTGAGCAGGTACGTTGTTGCTCTGCAATTCGATGGGTGACACAACCGTCTCGACAAAGATTTCCGAGACACGTAACCCGTCCGTCTTCCCCCCCTTCCCCCTCGTTTCTTCCTCCCGCCCTCCCTCACCAGGCAAACCTTCTACATCACCATGTCGCTGCGGGGCATGGTCCTGCCGGATGACCGTCGCCGGTGCGTGACCGGAGCTGTAGCCACACTTATCCTCCTTGGCGCTCTCCTGGGCCTTGGGTGGGTTTTCACGGAGGTGGGAGCGGGGTTTCCCGCCGCAGTTTTCGTCTCCGCGGTCGCTGCCATGGTCCTCCTTGCTCTTATCCACCGGCACCTTAACCTGAACCTGTGGGGGCAGGCCCGTCATGGCCCCTCGGGCAGCGGGGGGTTGACCGGCCTGCGGGCTCCCTCTTCCCCCGAGTCTGTGATCTCTCTTGGGCGCGTCCTCTGCACCCTCGCCTTGACAACCTGCCTCCTTTCCCTCCCGTTGCGGCATTTATCCAGCGGGGCACAGAGTGGTCAGAACAGTGGAGGCAGCGGGCTCGTGATGACACCGGCAGAGGCAGGTGGAAAAGCGCAGAAGCTTGCTGTCACTGGCCAACCCTCCTCGCATGCCGCGATGGCCACCACGCCGTGTTTGGCGTTGCTGAATGAGATGGGGGCATGGAGCAAGGGAGGAAATGAATGGATGTGGAACCGGGAGGGAGAGATGAAATGTGGCTTCCGCGGATTTGATCAAGGCGCGCTTCGGGCCTTGTATTCGGAGAGGGAGACGGTCATCATGGGAGACTCGCTGGGCCGCAAGTATTACTTTTCACTCTTGGCGGGCCTCGGGTCCCCGGCCCCAGAGGCCAACAATACGGAAGCAAAGGTACATCAAGATCTGGGGTGGGAAGGGGCGAAGGAGGAAAAAATGGATGTTTCCTTCCTGTGGCGGCCCTACGCGAAGGATGTGGTGGAGGAGATCCAGCTCTGGGAAGAGGCAGGCAGAAAACCTGACCTGGTGGTCCTGAGCTTTGGATTGTGGGACACGTTGCACAACACACCGGCAGCAGACTTTGAAGCGACGTTGGAAACCCTCAATCAAGTCTTGAAAACCATGGACGAGGACGCAGGCGGCGACGGCAAAGTCGCAGTGGGAGCCTCATCGAAATCAACGCCCGGGATCCTCAGGCTTTGGATGATGCCGACCACGATTGTGGACAGCAAATTGTTGACGGCGGATAAGCAGGAACGGATGACAGAGGCTCGGGTAGCGACGGTGCGGAGGCGGACCTACGAAAGCCTTGTGCAAGGTGGTGGGGTGCAAGCTGTATTGGACGGCCGAATTGTAAGTAGAGGGCAGGAGGAGAGGAGCTTGGATGGAGTCCATTACGATGATCCAGTGTATGACGCTCTCATGCAGATGGGCACGAATGCCTTGGTCTTATGGGAGAAGAGTGGGGGGGGGACGAAATGAAAGACAAGAGTAAAGAGGTGGCGATTGAAGGGGCGGGACGAGCGAGACGTGCATGGAGACAGCGATTTTTGTTTGAAGTGGACGCCAGGCCATCAGAGGACATAGCGGATTGGGAACCCTGGATCTCAGAACCACATGGAGGGCACGAAGGCCTGCACAGTATCCAGTGGGCGCGCCGGCTCCAAGACGGTATCGCCGTGAACAGGACTTTGGCGTCGGGCGTCGGGATAGGAGGCGCCAGTCCGTCGATTTCTCCGCAGAGCCTCAAGTCCAAGGAGGTCGATGGGTCCATGTCGTCGCCTACGCACGGAGCAATCATCTTGGCGGTCCTTCTCGTGATGCTTTTCACTATGGACAGCTACTTCGGGGCGTCTATTGTGGGGCGATTGTTGGCGCGGTCTAGCCTGGTGATTACGTGGGAGGAAGCATACGAACCGCTTCTGAGTAAACTCTTGAGACCCCCTTCTCACTCTGGGAGTGCAGGTATTGGTGGCGGTTTAGGAACCGGCAATTTAGGGGGGAACAGTGCAGGAGGGAGCGGGGTTGGGCCTCGGCCCATACCCCATCATGCGGGAGGGGCGGTGGTGAGGGGGCGGTACACGCCTGTTCCTCAGTCGGAGATAGAACTGGGAACGGCAGATGATCGGCCGGAGTCGCCCTCGAATAGCGGAGTGAGCGCCGCAAGTGAGGAATGAGGGCTCAATTTCTTTTTCAAGTGTATGATGAAACGTTTGTAGGATACAGAATCGTGTGGAGTGGGGTTGACTGCATCGGTAGGGTGGGGGGTGGAAAATAGGAGAACAACCTTAAAGGCCAGTCGTGCGTGAAGGCCGCGCAACAACTTGAGTGCGACGACTCAAACACCACGCGAAGAGGCCGCTCAAAGCACAATACGTGAGCTACGTCTCAGTGATGGGTCGGACTTTTTCATGAGGAGTTTCGGCATGTGATATTATAAATTACCTTACTTAATCCCTGATATTCAGGGCACTTTACATGTTACACTTGCAAGCCATTTTTGGCTCCAGGAATCTAGCCTTATGTCTATCGGTGACTTCCATTACATTCAAAGCACGATTAAGCATCAAGGGAAAATTCAGTCGGCAAAAAAGTAAGCCGCTCTCCTCACTCTGACCCAGTCAATACATGCTCCGGTTGTATGTACTACGGGCGCACGCCACAACAAGCGCAAGTCGTCGCAAGCTCGCTTATCTGTATAGCTATTACGTCAAGACGCCATTACACATCAGATCTTTGCGTACGCCATGGAGACTCGTGGCAATGGTGGTAAAAATGCAACATTGCGACTCCGCAGCACGTGGCAATAGGCAGAACGAAACCGCACGTGCTGTAGGAAACACCCATTTTGTCTTCCATGTGGCCGATTCAACTGGCAAAATCGATTTAACCTCAATATGTGCGGTATTTGTGCAGTAAACGCTCCTCAGCAGTTGCCACAAGCGAGGCATTCCCCGATACCATCCCTCTGCCGGTCTCTGCTGGATTCCCGTAGGCCCCTATGTGGCCCCCTTCCGCGATCTCCACGTCCATGGCGGATTCAGTCGTCTCTCCCACGGCCTCCCCGAGTTCACTTTCCCGCAATTCCTGCATCTCCTGCATGTGCGCATGGATGTGCGGCCGGAGCAAGGCCGGGTCGTCCGAGAGGGGGAAAGGCTTGGTGAGGGGTTGCCAACTGTCCGTTCGCAGTAAACAGAGATGGAAACTCCTGGCAACGAGCTGCCGCAAGTCGTCCTTGGGCATGAGAAGGGTGACCAGCGAGGTCCGTGAGTCCCAACGGACACAAGAGAAGAGGTGTACGTCACCACTTTTTTGCGCTGCAGGAGCCAGGAGGAGGGGCCGCAGCCCTTGGTTTTCGGGAGTTGGATGGGGTTCGTGGCCAGTCTTGCTGGGCGAGGAAGAGAAAGTGCAGGCGGTGTGAGAGCAACCGTGAGGAGGCATTTGCACGTAATGTTTGGAGGGATCGAAGGCTTCGGCATGCGTCGCTAGAAAAGCAGGGGAGACTAAGACGGCGCCCACGACCTTTGCCAGCGGTACGCCCGTCGCTTTCAGACAGGATTCGGCTTGAACAGCCACCGCTTCCGCACTTTCTCTCCCTTCACAGGGAAGCTGCTGGCGCCACGGTACCGTCAAGCGCAGCTGCGTGACGTCCTCTGGCCGTGGCAAGCGATGTCCGACTGGCGCACACAGGCGGAAACCAAGTTTCGGCTGCCATAGCCCGGCGAGCGTTCGCGTTTCCAGGGAGAAAGCCCCCGTGGGCACTGCGCGCGAAAGCTGCTGCTGGCGCCATGTGTACTGGGGCAGCCAGGGTGTCTTGTCAGGGGGTACCGCAGCAGTGGTAAGCTCTCCGATCATGGCGTGCTCGATGACCCAAGCCAAATTGTGGGGTGGGAAGTCCATGTGTGCGACCAGGTAGTGACAGAGCTCGAAAAAGGCCTGAAGGGTGAGCGGGCGGATCTCGGTGTGTGTGAGCACGCAATCCCGACACAAGGGCATGGCGATACTGAGAAACACCGTGGAGAGCCAGGCTTGCACATCGCGCCCGGAGGGGAGGTGCTGTGTGGGCGGGAGCGGGGTGGTAAAAGGGGCTGGGGAGGATGTCCGGTGGGGCGTGCTCTCGTCCTTCTCCATGTCGAGGTGAAGACTCTCCTCTCCGGGGCCTTCCAGGACAAAGGGCGGCGCGCGACTCCACTCGATCAAGTGGGCCCATATGCCTCCGTATTCGTGGTTCACACCCAGATAGGTCGGGAGGCAGGCCATGTCGGGCACATACAACCCCATGGAGTGTGCGTATTCGGGCAAGTCTTGAAAATTGGCATTGAATTTCAGCACACTGTGCTTCAAGGCGGATCCAGGACTCGTTTTGAGGAGGGGGATGAGTTTGATCATGGAGGGAAGAAGCGTGGTGTAGTCGGGGACGTTGCTGATGAGAACACGGTCCAAGCTATTGGGAGCGCGCGTGCTGCCCAGATCGTGCACGTCGCCAAGGAACATTTGCATTTTCAGGGTCCCTGCTTCTAAGAACCCGGCCAGTCCCAGTGCTACTTCTGAGAAGAAGAGCGCGGCTGATCGGAAGGCTTCTTGACGGGCCAAGTGGTTCTCGTCCCCGGGCTGAATCAACAACAATTTCAAGGCTTTGAATGGGCAGAAATGGAGCTCTGTCAAGGAGGAGGAGGCAACGGCCGCTTTGTCCAGCTTGCCCGGCAACATGGCCTCCATGGGAATGTCTGCCGAGACCAAGGTCACATTGGGCCGCCAGGCGTTGTGCAAATTACGGCCTTGGCTCTTGTCCATCAAGCCCATGCCCCGTGCGGCCTCCGGGGTGGGCACCGGTAAGAGCATGGTGGTGTGGAAAAAGTCGATTTCACGGTGCGCCGCGGGCAGGTGCCGCATGAGGTCCAAGGTGCGGGGATCCACGTCTTCCGCCCAGTGGTCGCGCAAAAAGGCCCGCTTCTCTTCCGGCGTCGCCCCTTCCGCTTCCCGCATCTGATTGATCTCCTCGTCGTCCATCGCCTCGATTTGTT